GGTCTAGTCTAATGAAAAGAAGAACTAGGGGTGACATGATAGCAGTCTTTACAGAGAAGAGGGTCAGCCTGTTCTCCAAAGCACCTGAGGGATAGACAAGAAGTAAGAGACGGAAATTTATCAAGGAGAGAACCATCCTAGAAATAAGAATCCCTGTTTTATGAAACATATGGAAATGAATTGATGTCTTTCAAAGCAGCCATGATTATTGGTGTCTCTAACCTCATGACTTATTATCCAGGATTTAATGACCTGGACCTCATTCCCCCACGAACTAATTAAGGCCATGTACTGAATGGTCTTTTCTCATCTGACTGCAATGGAGGATAAAAGTTTGATAGGTATGGGGGTCCCTTCCCACCCTCCTTGTCCCCAACAATGAGTTATGATTGGTATATATCTGAGGGAGAGGTTAAGAAATAGAAGTATAAAAATAAATATAGATAGTTAATCTTACTCCAATATTTGGAATTGCATTTATTTGGAATTGCCTTTAGATTATTAATTAATTAATTCTATGAATTATTAATTTCAATTATTATTGGAATAATAATTGGGATAGTATAGAGTCTCCTGCTTGAGCAGGAGGTTGAATTAGAAGGCATCCAAGGTCCCTCTTCCAGCTCTATCTGATTGATTGAAGGAAGGAAGGAAGGAAGGAAGGAAGGAAGGAAGGAAGGAAGGAAGGAAGGAATGCTGATAAGAATGCAGTTCACAGCATGTCATTCTGACTCATGGAGGATAATCATCTTAAGAACAAAACCTTGAGATTAAAGAGAGATCCAACCTAAAGGTAAGGAGAAATTTTCTGACAGTGAGATCAATTAATCAATGGATCAACTCCTGGAGTTGTGGGTGCTCCATCACTGTAGGTTTTTAAAAACAGACAGGGCAGGCATTTAACTGGGATGAGTTAAGATCTCCTGCCTTGAGCAGTAGGTTGGACTAGAAGACCTTTGAAGTCCCTCCCAGCCCTATGATTCTATGCTCTATGTTCTAAGCTTGAAATCTGCATCTGCAGACACCAGAAAGGGATCCCATGATTGTAACAAAACAAAGGCAAAAGGGTGGGATGCTCAAGCTGTGATGCACAGAACTGGAATTTTAATAGTGTTCCTTATTTGCACCTATGAAATGTTGGATGATACAGTACAGAGCTAATTCATGAACTGTGCTTGTTTTCTAGCACCCATCACTGAAAGTTAGTGTTTTATTTTGGGAAGGGAATGTAGCTCATTGACAAATTACATGCAAGCAGATCTAATCTCTGATTCAAAGGGATCTCAAGGCAATGGAAAACTGGTCTGTAAGCAGCCAAAAATCAAAGCTGACAATGCTAGGCTAAATATCCGTCAAAATGTAATCTGAGTCAGCTTCATGTGTCCACAGGAAATTCTGTTCATTGCCTATCCTCTGGCTTCTAAGAATGCAGAAGGCATAATCAACACCTATTCTACTCAAGTGTGCATTGCTGGAAGATAAAAAGAAAACCAATGTTTTTCAAGGAAGTAGGATTTTTGAACTGATTACAAAAAGCCTTTGCTAAGTCATCTTTCTTCATGGATGTCTACTTAGATGATGTTTCGTTGTTGAAGAAACATGATTACAATTACCAAGGTTGGCTTGTTGATCTCCCCAAGATCTTTCCAATAATGGCTCAATTCAACAACACATTCAAACCATTGTCAGCCAACGATGGTATCTGTGTTCTCATTTCACACAATAAAAAAAAATAAATTAAGATCTGTCACAGAGGGGTTTGACCTATTCTCAAGGGCAGAACAAGAAGTAATAGATGGAAACTTATCAAAGAGCGAACCAGTGGTGAAATGTAAAATTTGTTACTACTGGTTCTGTGGGCGTGGCTTGGTGGTGGGGTAATGTGACTGAGTGGGCGTGGCCAATTTATTTTGGGTTAACTTTTAAAATCATTTTTTTCTACAACCTCTTCAGGTTGTAAAATACTTTTAAAAGCCTCTGACGATCCCAGCTGAGCTGTGGGATCATCAGAGGCTTTTTTTTTACTTTTAAAAGCATTTTTTCACCGAAGAGGTTGTAGAAAAAATGCTTTTAAAAATAATAATAAAAAGCCTCTGATGATCGCATGGCTCAGCTGGACATGGGGGGGGGGCAGGAATTTTTGCTACCAGTTCTCCCAACCATCCGCCTCCATTGCTACCGGATCGGGTGGGAGCATTTCACCTCTGAAACCAACCTAGAACTAAGGAGAAATTCCTTGACAATGAGAACAATTAATCAGTGGAACAGTCTGTGTTGTGGGTGCTTCATCACTGAAGGCTTCCAAGAAGAGATTGGACAGCCATTTGTCTGGAATAGTGTAAGTTCTCCTGCTCAGTCAGGGGGTTGGATTGGAAGACCTCTAAAGTCCCTTCAAACTCTGCTATTCTGTAATTCATAATATCCTAAGGTGGAACAAATATATAGTACTAGAACAAATATGTAGTAGGGTTTAATGTGATTGCCTGATTCTCATGACATATAATGTGATTTAGCCACTGAAATTTATAAACCAGGTTGAAAATGCTCCCACAGAGAGGGCCTCCTCAGGGTGCCGTCGGCCAGACAATGTCAGCTGGCAACCCCCAGGGGGAGAGCCTTCTCTGTGGCGGCACCCGCCCTCTGGAACGACCTACCCCCAGAGATACGAGCGATCCCAGACCTCCGGACTTTTCGTCGGGCCCTAAAAACTTACTTTTTTCAGTTAGCCGGGCTGTCCTGATTTTATGGTTGGTTTTAAAATTTGATATTGATTTTAATTGAAATGTTTTAAATTATGGGCCAAATTTTATTTAATTATTTTAAATCTATTTTAACTTTTGTGTACAAATGTTTTATTTTGGCTGTTCACCGCCCTGAGTCCGAAAGGAGAAGGGCGGTATAGAAATCTGAAAAATAAATAAATAAATAAATAAAATAGCCTGGAATTTCATGCCATCAAGAACATAATACGAAGGCATGGTAAGATCTGGTTTTTCTAGCATTATCCCTGTTCTTCCTCAGATCATGATTAGGCCAATTCAAGACATTTGGTCTAATAAGGATAAAAAGACACACGTACAGTAATATTTTCTAGCAAATCAGGATTTCAGCCCAATATTTTGATTTAGTTCTCATGGGAATATTGTCTGCTGATTCAGCACAAGCCCATTGAAGTAAGGGCATTGCATTTCGCCTTCTGTTTTTTTGTTTTAGAATTCTACTTGCTATTTTAAGGCCCCTGTCTCAATATTACTAATTGCAAGCAGAGAAAACAACCAAACTGATAAAAACATTTGGCTCTCAAATTGTGCATTGTCGAGAAATATTTGGTGCGTCATGACATAGATCTATGCCATGCCCTATTAAATGAACTAGAAAGTTGGGTTCTGCAAAAACAGCATAAAATGGCCTCTCTTTCCTTTCCTATCCCTATAAAAGAGAGATATTTGCTAGTTTAACATTCAACAAAGAAATGCATAACCGGACTATTTATTCATTTGGGAGCCTTAAGCATAGAAGAATTTAAGCACAACTTTTTCATTACAAAGGAAGGGAAACATGGACTTTCCGATTTAATTATTCCATAGCAACAAAGGAACTGCAGAGACAATCCTTGCTGAACCTCATTTGCAATCTGGTAAATAGGCAAGACAGCCTGAAATAAACAGGGAATCCCACAAATGTGAGACAACTAGACATACATTCAGATTAACATAAATGTCTGCTCTTCGACAGTTCCTTTTTGTCTTCATCTCTAAGGAACATAAAAGTTATCCAACAGAAAATGGAATCAGATTATTCCATCACAAACAGACTTTGAGTTTGAAGGTGAAGTACCGCCATCTTTATCTCTTTTCACAACTAGCAATAGCAGCTGAATAGCACTTATGTACCGCTTCATAGTGCTTTATAGCCCTCTCTAAGCAGTTTACAAAGTCAGCCTATTGCTCTCAACAATCTGAGTCCTCATTTTACTGACCTCGGAAGGATGGAAGGCTGAATCCAGAACTTTGAGCCCCACCAGAATTGAACAGAGTCAGCCTGCAATATAGGTTCTAACCACAGCCATCACTGAGCCATCACAGCTTTTCCTACCTGAAGTTATCCATATGTAAGACTGGTGTAGCTCATTTCAACATGTCTGGAAGCACCAGACCTATGGAACAATCTACCCCCAGAGATACGAGTGATACGAGTGATCTCCGACCTTCGGATTTTTCGCCGGGCCCTAAAAACTTATTTTTTCCAGTTAGCCGGTCTGTCTTGATTTTAGGGTTAGTTTTAAAATTTTAATATTGATTTTAAATTGACAAGTTTTAAATTATGGGCCAAATTTATAAATTATTTTAACTTTATTTTTTAACTGTGATGTTTTGTATAGATGTTTTTATCTTGGCTGTTCACCGCCCTGAGTCCGAAAGGAGAAGGGCGGTATAGAAATTTGAATAAAGTAAAGTAAAGTAAAGAAACATGTAAATTCCTTAAATCACTGAAAAATACAATGTACCATCAAACATATTGGAGAAGTATATCTCGCTTCACAAAAGGCCAGGCAATAAATCTCCTCTTTCTAGAAACTTAATATCACACTCAACGGGTAATTGCAGAAACTTTAAAGATATGCTAAATGAGCAATTTTAATTGCAAATAGGAGAGATGCAGTATGCACACAGAAGATCCATCCATCACAGAGCACAGGAATCAAGGCTTATTTGTGCACATGTCAGATTAAAATACAGATTAAGGAACTCTGGATCAGAGACAGAATCTTAGAAGAGCCATTTCTTCCATTGTAGCAGAATACTGTGCTAGGAATGTTGCTTCATAATCTGAATAATCTTAAAACCACCTATAGATCCCCTTTTCCATTGGGCTTCTTTCTCCCTGAAACAAATTTTTATCTACATTTAATTAATCTGACATTTCATAGTGAACCAAGTGGACATTTCCTTGGTCGAGAGACATTTCTTAATGACAATCTAGATGAAATTTAAACTCACCACTTGAAGGAGAGCCAAATAACCAGCACCAACATTGTCAAAGTTGACTTTCACTACGGTCCAGTACAACTCTCCAGTGTCATTCATGGTTTGACAATCACTCTTGTTGTTGACAATTGTGTGGTTCAAAGGCTCATCGCCTTCTGTCTTGTTAATGCATTTCCCAAATTTGCCGGCAAACAAGTTGACTCCCATGATGCTGAAGATGAGCCAAAAAATGAGGCAGACAAGCAGAACATTCATGATTGAAGGGATGGCCCCTACCAAGGCATTCACTACCACCTTTGACGGAGGAGAAGAGAACATTCAGTTAATTGCAATGGATCTGCTGCGTAACCCCACCTAGAACCTGGTTGCTCTAGACATCTCCTATTCAAATTATATACCCCAAAAAAGAGACAGTTTAAAAATAAACTTATTTAGCAAACGTAAGTATGGAAGTTCCTTCTGTTTACTGTCTTTTTTTTTAAAGAAAAGACTAAAAAAGACTTGTCCAATGGATTTTCCACAAGTTCATTCAACTCAGGGAATTAACTAACTTATCCATCCAAGATTTTGTGTTGGTCTAATAAAAATTTATTGATACTGTACAGGTAGTGCTCAACTTACAACAGTTTATTTAGTGACCATTCAATGTTACAATGGCACTGAAAAAAAGTGATGATCATTTTTCACTTACAACAGTTGCAGCATCCCAATGATCATGTGATCAAAATTCAGGCAACTGACTCATATTTATGATGGTTGCAGTGTCTCAGGGGCAAGTGATCCCCTTTTGCAACCTTCTGACCAGCAAACTCAATCGAGAAACCAGATTAAATTTAACAACCATGTTACTAACTGCAGCGATTCACTTAACAAATGTGGCAAGAAAAGTTGTTAAACGGGGCAAAACTCACTTAACAACTGTCTGGCTTTGCAAAATAAAATTTGGGCTCAATTGTAGTTGTAAGTTGAGGACTACCTGTATCTAGTTTATTTAGCACTGCTTTTGATATCTGAGCTCTTCTCACCAAGATACGATTCCCTTCCAGTGGCAGCTATACGAAAAAAAAGTGCCAGGCTCAACTTCCCAGATGCTGAAGCACAATGTGGAAATGCCTCTTTTGTTGCATTGACATGGAGCCATTAAAGCAATATTCAGTTTTTGGAACCAAAGTTGGTTTTATAATGTGGTGTCTTGCTCCCTAATTTATCTTGGCCATCAAAAGCATGTAGAAGAGCAATATTTTATGTATCATTATTGTCATAAAATGCTTTTGCCAGCTGAGAGCCCACTGTGTAGGACTTACTACATGTTTAATATTTATAGGAACCTATCTTCTGATTAATATTTAATATAGTATTGTTTATCAAAGCTCTAAGATGCATCGGCATACCTATGGCTCCAGTAGATATGCCTAGAATGAGAAAGGGAGATTTTCTTCCAATTAACAAATATATCCAAGGTATAATCTTTTGAAACTCACATCTAGTTTGTACAAACATGCACACACACTATAGATACGAGCAATTCCAGCATGTCTGAGTATGCATTCACATGGAAAAATGTAATGTACGAACTGCATATTCAAGCTACTGTGGACATGATTATTAGGACGTAGCTGTGAGAATTGCTGCAAATTATATTCATGGTCATCTGTGTAAACATTCTCAGAAAGAGTGCATGGCGCTACATGGTTGAAACTGTTCATTTGTTCAAAACACTTGCATACATCATTTCCATTCATTTCCTATTAGGCCTATCATCACAATACTTTGATTGAAATCAATCCCATACATTTTGATGACATTTAAAGCTGAAATACAATTTGGATTCGAGCTCCAGATTTTACTGATTAGACACCTGTAAATCAATGAAATCTTGGAAGATTGAGGGCCATTACCATCAAATCAATTCAGATACTGAATGATATAACTCAGGATCTCCATATTTGGCCACTTTAAGACTTGTGGACTTCAACTCCCAGAATTCCCAAGCCAGTCATGCTGGCTAGGGAATTCTGGGAGTTGAAGTCCATAAGTGTTAAAGTGGCCAAGTCTGTATAAGTTGTCCCACTTATACAGCGGAAGAAGGTGTCCCTCTCTCCACTAGAGAAGAGGACAAAATTTCTGCTCGGTGGCTTGATCTGACCTGTATCATCTTTTCCCCATTTTCTGATATGGTCACGATGCATACCAGCATCTACTGTGAACATTTTTGAGACTGTTTCCCCAGTCCTTGATTTATCACCAGGACAATTCTAGTAACAGAAATTAACAGGAATTCCTCCTTGCAAGTTTTCATATAAATTTCACATGTCTACAAATCTCTGCTTTCCTGTATCTTTCCAGCAGGATCAATGAGCAATATAAATTATTTCATGATAATACACACAAAGATAATACTGCATAGCTGAGGACAGAATTATGTAAGATCTGGTCAAATGACCAAGAATGCAGATTGGAATGAGGCCAATCCACTTTGGAAAGGTTTAAGACCAAAGAAACATACATCAATCAAGGCAAGATAACACCATTGTGGTAAGAAAAGTCACATTTGCAATATTGTACTGAAGCAATGGAGATGGATATTTTAGCAGGATAAAAATGATCACCTCAGGCATGAAACATTTGATATTGTTGACATGCACTCCAACAGACAATACAATAAATTACAGACACATCACTCAAGTCTTCAATCACCAATCTTGAGTATAAAGAAGGGAGGAGTTATGCACACAAAACATTAAAGATTCTATATACTATTCAGCAAAAGACAATACTAACTAAACAAAAAGTGTAGGGTGGAACTGCAATTGCGTTCAGCTGATCTGTTCAACTGAATTACTTGGAGAAGTTTCTCACAATTGTTACTTTCACTGGCTTAAGACAACCTTGCCAGCTCAGTAATGTTTCTCCTCCTCCTTGTTTTTATCAAGCGCAAATATGTCTCTGTTGATTTGTGTCTTTGATCTTCGTATCAGCTTTTACTTCACCTTCCTTGGATTTCTGGAATGGAGGGCTAAGCTGTATTGATCTCAGGAAATAACAAGTTGTTTCAAGTATAAATCGAATTATAGGAAATGTTACATCTTATCTAATGAGTCTGTTGTAGACTTTGGGGCAAGCCAATAATATAGTTGATTTATTTTGATGTAGCACGTGCACTTAGATGTCTTTCAATGTATAATTTATTACACTTTAATCACATAATACTGATATTATGAAGTTCTTTTGAAAACTTCATAGATAATATTGTTTGTAAGATTTACACTCTTTTTTTCCTCCAGGAATCAAGGTGCTGTATGCAGCATTTTTGCCTTCAATTTTATCTCCTCAAACACACACGGCCTGGGTTGAACTGACGGAGTGAAAGTTAACCATTAAGCATCTGAGATTGAAGATGGGCTTGTAGCTGTCCCAGAACAGCGATTTAACTATTACATCACACCAGTTTAGGAAATGAACATTGAGGATTCATTTATTGTTAATTTTTGTACTTGTATTATACAACATTTTTCCATTTGTTCAAATCAGCCTTCACCCACTGAGGTGGAATACATGGATGACCTTAAAGAAATAGAAGATGTAGGCAATCTTCAACTTACAACCACAGCTGAGCCCCAGATATATGTGGCTGAACGAAACATTTGTTAATTGAGTTTTGTCCCATTTTACGACCTTTCTTGCCACTTTTGTTAAACAAATCAGTGCATTGTCAAGTTAGTAACACGGTTGTTAAGTGAATCGGGCTTCCCCATTGACGTTCCTTGTCAGAAAGTCAAAAAAGGGGATCACATAATACCTCAGGACACTGAAATTGTCATAAATATGATCCAGCATCTGAATTTTGATCACGTGACCTTGGGGGTGCTGCAACAATCCTAAGTGTGAAAATGGTCATAAGTCACTTTTTTCAGTGCCGTTGTAACTTCAAACGGTCACTAAATGAATGGTTGCAAGCCAAGGACTACCTGTATGCCTAAGGAAACAATTAGAGAAGGGGGCAGGAGCCCCCAATCCCCTAACAGCCAGGGAAAGAAACTAAGAAAAGGCTTATCCTAATGGAACAAGAAATTTAAATTGGAGGATGGTAAGTTTGTTCCTTCAGACTTACAAGATTCTGTTAATCTAGATTTTACAATACAGGAGATTTAGCTCACTTAGGTGTTTCCTGTCTGGTTTACCTGTGTGGGCTGACACCCACCTGATAGCCAAGTAAGTAAGCTGGTTCAAAGCATCAACATCCTTCATTTTAAAGCTTGTAAGTTACTCATTCTGTCTCAGAATGGGAAGTTATCTGTTTAATAATGGTTTGAGGAAACCAGGAGGAATTGTGTGGGACGAAGTTTTTCCCCAGAAACAGGAATTATATAGTCAATAACTACAGGTAGTCCTTGACCTACAACCATTCTGTGACACTATCTTGTCAAAAGTCCCTTGCATTATTCGTAACAATGGCTGCATCTTCATCAGCAATCAGCAACCTTGTCTCATCATGAGAAAATAGTGATATTAATGATAGCCTGGAGAGACTGGTTACAAGAGTGGTTCAGCAGAGAAAGATTTGGGGTGTGTGAGTATGTGTGTGTACACACACACACACACACACAATTTTTATACTCCCCTTTTCTTCTGAAAGCTAGCTGACACGAGACAATTTAATTTATGTGCCTAAAATCCCAGGAAAACTTTCATGAATAGGTCTGGCCTCACTGATTTTGTGGGTGCCAATTTTAATGACCAAATGAATGCACGATTGCCTGACATCCACATAGTTAGCATTTCTGTACGTTCCTTTCTTTTAACCCCCCCCCCCAAGCATTTTACATTTCAATTATTCCATTCATTTCTGCCTGCACTGCCTTAGGAGGGCAGCTGTTTTGTAGCTATAGGGTACAAGTAGTCCTCAAGTTCATTTAGTGGCCATTCAAAGTTACAACAACACTGAAAAAAGAGACTTATGACCATTTTTCACACTTACAACCATTGCAGCATCCCCATGGTCAAAATTCAGATGCTTGGCAACTGATTCATATTTATGACGGTTGCAGTGTCCCAGGGTTTTGTGATCAATGTTTGCGACCTTCTGACTAGAAAAGTCAACGGGGATGGGGGAAGCCAGATTCATTTAACAACCGTGTTACTAACTTAACAACTGCACTGATTTACTTAACAACTGTGGCAAGAAAGGTTGTAAAATGGGGCAAAAATCAATAGCAACAGAAATTCTGGGTTTAATTATGGCTATAAGTCAAGGTATTTTTTTCCCACATGGTGGTTATTGTTGTTTGATTTAT